TGGACACGTTCCAGCTTGTCAACCTCTTCCTTGGACTGTGGTGCCCAGAACTGGACACCATGTGATTCCAGGCGTGGTCTGACCAAGACAGAATAGAGGGGTAGCACGACTTCCCTGGATCTAGGCACCAGACTCCTATTCATGCAGGCCAAAATCCCATTGTCTTTTTTTAGCCACTGCATCACATTGTTGGCTCATGTTCACCTTCCTGTCCACAAGGACTCCAAGATCTTTTTCACACGTACTGCTATCGAGCCAGGCATCTGTATCTTTGCATTTCATTTTTCCGCCTAAGTGGAGTATCTTGCATTTGTCATTGTTGAACTTCATTTTGTTAGTTTTGACTCATCGTCTGTCTAATCTGTTGAAATCGTTTTGAATTCTGCTCCTTTCTTCTGGAGTATTGGCTCTCCCTCCCAATTTGGTGTCATTTACAAACTTAATGTTCATGCCTTCTAAACCTTCATCTAAGTAATTAATAAAGATGTTGAACAGGTCCCGCCCCAGGACGGAACCCTGCTGATGGCACTTCACTCATCACTTCTTTCCAGGATGAAGAGGAAGCATTTGGGAGAATCACCCTCTGGGTTCATTCGCTTAACCAATTAAAGATTCACCTAACCATAGTTCTGCCTAGCCCATATTTGACTAGTTTGTTTGCCAGAAGGTCATGGGGGACCTTATTAAAAGAAGGCCTTTCTGAAATCCAGATACATTCCATCCATGGCGTTCCCTGCAAATGTTTCAGGTATATAAAAAAAAACAACACCCTGGTTTATTCATGATTTTAACTGGTTAACCAAATCCCCATGCCAAGTATATGATAAGCAAAAATTAGAGTCCCTCTCTAGAACTACAAGCATTATCTCAACCAAATTTTGATGATCCACACTATCATTACCTACCTTTTCTACCAATTTACATTGCAATAGCTGACATAGTGGAAGTGACCATAGTGGAAGCTGCCAAAATGTAGTAGCCGGCAGGCAAAACCTAAGGGATGGGACGGGGGATTTGACCTGGACTGAAGTGAAAAAACTAAGGTATCTCCCACTGGTTCATCTAATCCAAGCCCTGCCAAAGAAACCATGAAACAGGAGTAAAGAGAAGAAGCTGTGCCACTGGACTTTATTGGGGAGCCCCCCGGTGTTGCAGTGGGTTAAACCACTGAGCTGCTGAACTTGCTGATCGAAAGGTTGGTGGTTGGGATCCAGGGAGCTGAGTGAGCTCCCACTGTTAATTCCAGCTTCTGCCAACCTAACAGTTTGAAAACATGCAAATGTAAGTAGATCAATAGGTACTGCATTGGCAGGAAGGTAACAGAGCTCCATGCAGACATGCCAGCCACATGACCTTAGAGGTGTCTATGGACAACACCCGCTCTTCGGGTTAGGGATTGAGCTGACCACCACCCCCCACAGTCAGACTCAACTAAACTTAATGTCAATGGGAAACCTTTACCTTATTAAATTTTGGAGACATAAGATTGAAATGGCAAAAGAAAGGATTAATAGTAATTTTTGTTACTGCTTTCAGATTAGTTATAGCCACACAAAAAATGGAAAATGATGATTACGAAATTGAGAATTGGTACAACAAATTATAAACCTACTTGTGATGAATGAAAAGAAATATTGTGAGGTAATATTTGGCAAATTCTTAAAATATATATTTGTTTAATTAAAAAAGAAAGCCAAATCAACATACACTAGCATTTTGGAGACAAGAGGTCAATATAAGAATCATTAATATTAAGGATGAATGTATGACCCATGGGTGGTGGGTGCAGGCAAAGTTTACATGTATACAAATATATGTTTAGTTGTGTTAGCTAGCTGTGTAATTTTTTTAATTTAAAAAGAAGAAGAAGAATTAGCTTGGTGCATGGGTTGCTAAACCATTTGTGCAAAGGAAAAATGCAATTGAAATCTTCAATAGATACCAAAAAACAGAGCCCCATCAGAACAACTTGTGCTTGGCTAAAAGCTTCTTGCTCATTCACAGTGGAGAGTGTCTGGATGGAATCCGTCATCACGAGAAAGGAAATAAAACAGAAAACAGAAAGAAACTTCTGCCAATTGTGGAAACGGTTGTCCTCTGTGACCCACAACAACGGGCTTAAAGGGAGCAATAATTGAGGATCTGTTACTTGTGAAGAACCTTTGCACAATGATGGTCACTGCAGGGCCTTGTTGAGATCTCAGGAGACACTGGCCTCAAAAGTCATCTCGGGGAGGGGAGGGAGTTTCAGCCTCTCATGAATTATTTTTCTGGCTACAGGCTTGGTTGTGTGGAAGGCCCCACAAGAAGCAGTCCTGGTTAGTGTTGTCGAAGGCTTTCATGGCTGGATTCAGTGGGCTGTTGTGAATTTTCTGGGCTGCATGACCATGCTCCAGAAGCATTCTCTCCTGATATTTCACCCTCAGGACTTGATTAGCATTGAATAGTTTGAAGCTGCAAGGATATTCAATGCTAATCAAGTTGGTCAATGGCAACATTCCCAGGACCCAGACAGCCCTAGGCCCCTTCCACACAGCTGAATAAAATCCCATTTCCCCCTTTGAACTGGAATATATGGCAGTGTGGACTCAGATAACCCAGTTCAAAGCAGATATTGTGGGATTTTCTGCCCTGATAGTCTGGGACCATGATGGCCAACATATGACACGCGTGTCAGTAATGACACGCGTAGCCATTTCTACTGACGCGCACCTGCTGGATATTATGTATTTATTTTATGCCATTTTAAAAAATAGATAGGAAAGAAAGTAACTTATTCCATAGAGAGAAACCCAGGCTGCAGTAAGCCTCCATAGAATCAATTCCGCGCATGCGTGGAAAGGGGCCTCTTCCCTCCTGCTCGCAAAAGCAGGCCGAAGTCCTGCCCACTCTTCATTCAAGTAAAAGCCCTGGGCGGGAAAGACCATGCCTCTTCCCTGTATCTCCGTTCCCATTGGCCTCCTGGAAAGAAAGCTCCGCCCATTTCAAACGCTCCTGGGTCCACCTCTTCAGCCGCTCACGGTTCCTTTCTTCCTGGTTACATGAGTTTTCTCTTTTTGCAAAGGAAATAAACCAATTGCAAAATAATATTGGTTTATTTAATTATTAAGTAAATGAATATTATTTTGCGTTGTTTCCTAAATATTAAGGAGTTACATATTTAAATTAAATTAAATGATAAATAATATTACTTTTCTATATTACTCAAATATTTCAGAATGTCTTAAATGAAATGGTAAATTGAATTTTTATTTGACATTTAATTTAATGCATTTTAATTTAATGCATTTTAAATATTTTTAATATATGCCTTAAATATATATATGCCTTAAATGAAATGGTAAATTAAATATCAAAATATATTTTGCAATGTTACTTTTTTATTATTGCATTATTATTATTAGAAATACATTAAACAGCATATTAAATGCTAGAAATACATTTACATTAAATTAAAAATAAATAATATTTTGTTGGGTTTTTAAAATTATATTTTGTTAAACACTCCAAAAAGGATATTATTTACATAAAGAGAGGTAGAACAACATGATAAGAGAGAAAGTGGGAATTACAATTATATATTTTTTGTTATTTAAACTAAATATTGCGAAATTATGGGGTTTTTTTCTTGAAATGACACACCACCTGAATTATGCTCAGTTTTTTGGCAAATTTTGACACACCGCGCTCAAAAGGTTGCCCATCACTGGTCTGGGATATAGGGCTGTGTGGAAGGACTCCTATATCCTAGAATATCAAGATAGAAAATCCCACATTATCTGAGTGTGGACTCAGATAACCCAGTTCAAAGCAGATATTGTGAGATTATCTGCCTTGATATTCTGGGGTGTAAGGCTGTGTGGAGGGCCCCCCACTTGCCTCCAACAGACTAGATTTCTTTCTCCCATCCTGGACATTCCATAGTCATACAAACCCCACTTGCCTAACTTCCAACAGACCTCACAACCTCTGAGGATGCCTGACATAGATGTGGGTAAAACGTCACGAGAGAATGCTTCTGGAACATGGCTAGACAGCCCGGAAAACTCACAACAACCCAGTCCTGGTTAGAGTTCTCGGTCTTCCTTGTCTCTTTTTCTCCTTTCGTTTCTTCCTGACTTCTTTGAAAGGTGTTTTGTCAGTTTTTTTCTCCTTTCACTTCCTAGGGGCCTTTCCACAGAGCCATATACCCAGACTATCAAGGCAGAAAATCCCACAAGATCTGATTTGAACTGGGTTATCTGAGTCCACACTGCCATATATTCCACTTCAAAGCAGAAAATGTGGGGTTTTATTCAGGTGCGTGGAAGGGGCCTGGGTTCTCTGAGTCCACATTGCCATATCATCCAGTTCAATGTGGATTTTATACAGCTGTGTGGAAGGGGCCCTAGAATATCAAGGCGGATGAGCCATAATATCTGCTTTGAACTGGATTATCTGAGGCCCCTTCCACACAGCTGAATAAAGCCCCACATTATCTGCTTTGAACTGGGTTATATGGCAGTGTGGATTCACATAACCCAGTTCAGAGCAGATATTGTGGATTTCTAACTTGATATTTTGGGTTATAGGGCTCTGTGGAAGGGCCCTGTGTCCACACTGCCACATACTCCAGTTCAAAACAAATAATGTGAGATTTTATTCAGCTGTGTGGGGGCCCTTCCACACAGCCCTATATCTCAGACTATCAAGGCAGAAAATCCCACAATATCTGCTTTGAACTGGGTTATCTGAGTCCACACTCAGATAATGTGGGATTTTCTGCCTTGATATTCTGGGCTATAGGGCTGCGTGGAAAGGTCCTGGAAAGGGCCCCATTCCTGAGGGAGGGCCTTTTTTTTTACACGCGGAAGGATCCCAACCGAGTACGCGGCGCGAAGATGCACTTTTCTCGCCCTCAATCTTCCCGCTCCTGGCCTCAGAAAGAAGTCCCGGCTTGGCTTTTGGGAGGGAAACCCTGCGCGGCGGAAAGGAGGGAACTTGGGGGGGAGGGGGGGGGGAGGAGGAAAGGCAGCCATCTTGTTCGCCGCCGCCGCTGCTGCTGCTGCTGCTGCCGGCGCTTCGCTGCGGAAGCCCTTTATAAGCAGGACGGGCGGCGGCGGAGGAGAGGAGTGAGGAAAAGGCCCGTCTTGGGAAAGGAAGCGAAAACAGTGGAGTTTGAGCGAGTCTCCCGGCGATGGCGGATAGCGATAAGCTCAACATAGACAGCATCATACAACGGCTGCTGGAGGGTGAGAAGGGCTTTGGGGAGAAGGCACAGGCAAGCAGCCTTTTCAGTGGGAGGGAGGAAAGGGCCTGGCTTTGACCTCCCATGCAACCCCTAAAGGGCTGCCTTGCAGATGTATTCTAGAGGCAAGACCTAGGCCTTAGGCGTCTTTCCTCTCCAACGCTGCAGGCTAGGCAGCAAGGGCTTGGGGAAAGGCGCTGCTTTTGGGGGACTGCCGCTCCCAGCATCCCCCAGCCAGCTTATGCTGGCTGGGGGATGCTGGGAACGGCAGTTTCCCAAAAGCAGCGCCTTGCCCAAGCCCTGGAAGACTGCCTAAGCAACCCCAGCTGGCCCAACCACCTCCTGAGTCTCCTTTACCCCGAAAACCCTATTAGACTCAATGTTTGGGGATTCGGGAAGCAGCAGTCCCACAGAAGAACCTTTGAACCCTACCGAAGGAATCCCAGCTGCCGGGAACTCTATTTGGGAGGAAGTAACCGGCCCAACCACCTCCTGAGTCCTCCTTGCCTCCAAAAACCCTATTAAACCCAATGTTGGGGAATTCTGGGAGCAGCAGTCCCACAAAAGAGCTCTCCCCAAAGCTCTTGAAGCCTGCCAATGGCGTCCCAGCTGCTGAGAGTACAATTACAGAGGAAAGAACCCCTCCTGCGTTCTCCTTTCCCCCCAAAACCTTATTAGACCCAATGTTAGGGGATTCTGGAAGTGCCAGCCCCACAAAAGAGCCTTCCCCAAAGCCCTTGAAGCCTGCCAAAGCCACCCCAGCTGCTAGGAGCTCTATTTCGGAGGAAGGAACCGATGCAACCACCTCCTGAGTCCTCCTTGCCTCCAAAAACCTTGTGAAACTAATTATTATGTTCATGGAGTTAGAAGACGCAAATGTGTTGGGTTGGGTTGGGTTGAGATGTGCTGTTTTCTTCTCAAGGTACCTCTTCACTGTTCCTCCATGTGGCTGCCACTCTCCGAAGTCAAGTCAGTGCCATTGATAAAGAAAGCCCCCATTTGGAATGCAGTGCACAAGTAGAAGGCTGCCTGCACATAGCTCACATTCTCCTACACAGCCACGTTTTTGACCTATGCGTTGTTCTTATGTCCGGAAATTTTTTGTTTTGGGAGATGTCCCCGAGCGTACATGTGTGTCAGGCTGTAGAGTTTGCTCTCTGCGTTTGTATACTTGCCCTTCTCTACCCCCTTTCCCTTTTTTCTCCTTGCTCTTTGCATTTTAAAGGATTAATTTAACTCAGAGGGCCTATATTTTAAATGCGGGTTGCTGGATACAAGGAGATGAGGCGAAAAGCTAGAATAAGTGTCTCAGGAGCTCTGTGGGAGATGTGTAGGTTTAAAATAGGGATGCAGATGTGTTAGGGAAGTCACTATAATGGTGCAGAGGTCAGCATGGTATGGAGGGTACCCCCACCCCATGTGAGAAGTTATTCATGGTAGGGAGTGAGTGCATACTAAAGTTATCCTTGCTTCACAGTTGGAGCGGGTTGGGGGTCTCTGAAAAGAATGTGTTTTGAATAAATATAGGAATGAGTAGCAGTATTTTAAGTAGAATCTAGAGGCTCCTATGTGCTTTGCCTTAGGAGTAGGGGGGCATTGGGAAGCGGGTTGGATTGCTTCCTTGTGTAAATGTATGCGAGAGAAGGCTTTTGTGAAGGAAGTTGGGGGGGGGGGGGTCTCATGATTGAATTTGGCCCAAATACCTCAAAGGCACCAAATTCTGGCTGATTGTGGAAGCTAAGCTGGATCAATACCTAGACAGGAGATCACCAAAGAATCATAGGTATTGTATGATCTATTCCAGAGGAAGGAACTGGCAAAACCTCCTGTGGGTATTCCTTGAATGAGACAACCCTGTGAAATTCTTTGGCTTGCCATAAGTCAACAGGCAACTTGAAGACACACATGCACACTAATGAAGGGGCACAAGAAAGCTGCAGAGCATGCTTAAGAATAAATGCTGGCTATGGCAGTTTCATTTAAAAAGTTCCTTTTTAGGTCATTCTGTTAAAAAGGAGGATTTGGTTTCAGTTGGAGGAAGAGGAAGCAAAGTATCAAACAAGACTTGGGGCGAATGTTTTAAGATACGTGGGGCAGTGTGTAGAAAATCTTTCCCTTCTCAAGATTTAAATGGCAAGGGACTCTTTCAAGTTGTCCAAGTTTGAAATAGTTGGCATTTGTAACACTGGATCTGGATATTGTCCCCCACATCTCAGTCTTGTGGCTTTGTTTTTTGGGCTCTTCAGAAGTATCATGGGGCAGGGGCAGACCTGAAGGGGTCTATCACCAAGGAGAAGAGACTGGAAAGGTTTTGTACTCCAGATTACAGCATCTACCTCAATTGGTTTCAAAACGGTTGGGCAGGGCAGGAATGGAGAGTACTAGATTAGTTGTACGTGCAGTACTTCACTGTTTCTAAGGGCAAGGCATAAATAATAAGTCTATATTGTTCTTTCATTGTTTTCCCTTCCTCTTCACAAATGTAGCATCTTGTGGATGGTGAAGGACAGACTGTGGGTTCACCTCCTTTCTAACTGCAGGAGTGCTGGCTTAGCAAAATATGGAGGTGTGGGAATGTGTTTGCCCACCTGTGCCTGTCTGTTATAGTCATTATTTTTAAAGGAGGCCTTTAAAGACTAGGGTGAAGAGTCTGCTTGCAAATAAATTACAGACTAAATCAAAGTACAAATACATTGTTATGAACTTGATTATTTTAACATGTGGAGGTGTGCTGCATCTGAACACTATTAGTTTAGCTGACCCTAGTGATATGGTTGTTTCCAGCACATAACATTCCCTAAACTTTCTGGGGGATTACTTTCAGTGTTGGTTGTAGGGGACTAGCCTTTGGTTGGAACTGCTTGTTAATCTTGGCTAGAATAAAGCAGTTGTGATGGCAAACCCTCTTTGCAGCAGCAAGCAGGATCAGCTTATCTGAGGAAAGAGGCTGCACTAATCTTGCTTTGTCTGACTCCATCCCGAACTTGCACTTGAAGAATTCAGCTGGGGAATTAATTTTTAACATTCAATGCAAAATATTGCAGTGTGGTTTGAGTTAAATATAGAGGATATACTGTTCTCTGTTCTCTCATCTTACTTCCACTCCCCTTCCATTTATTGTAAAATAGATTTATTAAAAAGCTTTTTCCTTTAGATTGCAGAAATACTGTAGAAAAGGAAAAAAGGCTAGTAGTATAGGATGGAATGGTGTTTTCAACATGGATTCTAGTGGTTCTTAACCTGTGGTGTCCAGGAAGACACGAAGGAGTGTTACAAGCTTACAGTTAAAGTATTTATTTATTTCCTATATTTATACCCTGCTCTTCTCACCCCGAGGGGGACTCAAGAGCGGCTTACAGATTGGCCACTTCAGTGCCGCATTGCAATACAAAGTATATAAAATACAGCACATTAAACATCAATAAAAACATACAAATATACAAACTGTTAAAACCTGTTAAAACCATATACCTAAAACCATAGTCATCCTTCATGTTGCTGCATATAAATTCTGTGTTGCACTCTTCCCAAATGCCTGATCTCAAAATCAGGTCTTAACTTTTTTTTTTCTAAAGACAAAGAGGGGGTCAATCTAACATTGGGTCTAATAGGGTTTCGGGAGGTGATTGGGCCAGTTCCTTCCTCCAAAATAGAGCTTCCAGCAGCTGGGATGGCTTTGGCAGGCTTCAAGGGCTTTGGGGAGGGTTCTATTGTGGGACTGGTGCTCTCAGAATCCCCTAACATTGGGTCTAATGGGATTTTAGGGGTCAAGCAGGATACAGGTGGGGTTCCTTCCTCTGAAATAGAGCTACCAGCAGCTGGGATTCCTTTGGTAGGCTTAAAGGGTTTTGGGGAGGGCTCTTTTGTGGAACAACTTCTCCCAGAATCCCACAACATTGAGTCTAATAGGGTTTTAAGGGGGTAAGGAAGATTCAGTAGGTGGTGGAAAGAAAGAAGGAATGAATGAAAGACAGACGGACGGACGGACTGACTGATGATAGTTGATTTCAAAGACGGGTCTTTTGCCAGGGATAAACACCATTTGTACAAAATTTTCATTACAGTATTAATAAATAATATTAGGCCAAGGTTAAGCATTTTTCAGGTATTATTGTTACTGGTTGTAGTGTGTTAAAATTGCATGGAATCATTCCAATAAAAATATTATCGTAGGATAATATTTTACTTATTTCTTCCTCATCTCCAAATTTAAAGACCCTTGATGAGTAACTGTTTAATGCTCTTCAGGATTTAAATCTTGTTGGTCTGTGGTAACAAAAGTTACTTAGCATCCCTGGTAAGAAAAAGTTTAAGGACTCTTGTGATATCCCATCTGAAGTAGCTGAACAGCAGCTTTTTATTTCTGCTGCCTGAGTTGCCAGGTGAGAATTTTGCAACTGCTCATAGACTACAGATAATATCTTTTTAACCAAAACATCACATAACCTACACAACTTTCATAGGAATCAATGAGCACACAAAAAAGGGAGGGCTACCGTAAGAGTCGTACATTTATAGTGCTAGTTCAGTGTGGTTAGATGTGCTGGGCATCCACCTTTTATCCTACCTTTCTCCCAAAAATTGAGACTTAGGACAGCTTACAATTTTCAAACATGGAAAAAGTAGAACCCAAAAAAGAGCTGTGTCTCCTCCTTTCACACCCGCGAAGAGCCCGAAGATTTCTGCTTTGCACTTTAGACAAACCTGACAGCCCAGATTTGCACATGACAATGAGAATATCTGTATTGCTTCCTCCTCACTCTGTCTGCAGCTAGAAGTAGCAAGTCGGAGGAGCTGAACTAACCAGAGAACTTGCCAAGAAAGAAAAGCTTATTGTTGCTTCCAGGCTGCAACTCCAAGCTTACTTTTATAACAAGCCAGGGGTTGGATTTGGCTGTGCCCAGGATCCCGAGGAAAGGAACAAACAAGAATTAGGAGTATTTTCCTACCCTGATAATTTTCTGGAAGCTTTATCTGCTTCTGCTTGCAACAAGGGATTATTTC